ATTAATTTATAGAAATATATATTTTTGTAACACCCTAAACCCGAATAGGTATAAAGTATCATACAACAGACAAAACAGTTAATAAAACATTTTATAAATCAAAGCTATGTGACACATAATTTAAACCAAAATAATACATCTCAATGTTTTATAAAACAAATACATAAGTAAGGTTCCCTAAATATTAAAGCTATAGTGCAGTACTATAAAGGAGATGCTGGAAGTCCTGCTGCGATGGAGCTCCACGAACTGCCCAAGCAACTAACTTGCCAATGGAAAACATCTGAAGTCTTTGTGTCCGCTCTGGGTGAGTACTAAATATGGGTGCGGATATAAGTGCAAGTATACACAATCGAACAAGTAATACAGTGATAAGTGAGTATCGTCTCCACAGGGAATTGAGGAAATCAAATAGGTTTGTCATGACACTTTACTTTGTCACCTAGTAAAGTTAGTGATGGTATGTACAAATGAGAATACTGTGGCAAATTGGAATGAATGATGTGGAATTAGAATAGTGGTAGTGTGGTAGCAATTGGATATGTCGTGGCAAATTAAATTGTGATGCGTGCAACAAATGGAAATATCAAGGCAAAATGAAATGTAAATATACGAGTTGATTAATAGGACTTTGTCTTTCTCACACGAAAAGCTACTTTGAGAATGAGTGGTAGGAGTCACTAAGGAAAATCTAAGTCTACTTCTCCGAATAGTCTTCCTTCTATGCCTAGACTGCCCGACAGAGTCTACTGATGTGCCCTATGCTATCTCTAGCAAGGGACTCGACATAATAAAGATGCCCTAGCAAAACCGATTGGCGTAAACCCCTGTAGTGGTCCAGATAACAGGATATGTCTCGGCAATACCTTTTTGCGGCAGCATTAACATCTAACTCGTTCATGCACAACTCCTTTTAATCGAATGAAATCCTAGCCTTATCTCTAAGGTGGATTAGGCCTAGTTACTACCTAGAGCCCCTTGTTTATGTAGTTCCTCCCTAGTTTTCTCGAACACTAAGGATTTTTATCTCGGTATTCTCTCGAACCCAAAGAATCTCCTAAGGAATGTCTACTCTCGTAGCTCCTACAACCTTAAGGAACTAAGTCTCATAAACAAAATAGAATATAGCATAGAAAAGCAACCATTCATTGAAATAAAACTTAAATATCCAAGTGAAATCCTACCAAATAGGTTTAGTTCATGGTGGGGTTCGAAATAAGCAAGCACAAAGCAAGTTTCTTCTGTTCCTTACAACCCAATAAGAAAATATGAAAGTAAAGAACTAAGGGGAGGAGAGAAAGCCTTCGATATGCACTGCCAGATGCTTCCCTCGGCCACCAAGAACTGCCCCCAGCGAACTAGCTCCTCTCGGACGCTTAGAATGCCACTCCCTCAGGCTTGTCAAGGAGAAATGCCACGACAAGTAGGTTTGACGGAGGAAAGTGAGACCTTCTCTCTCTAACTTTTTAAGGTCAAATCAGGGTGGAACCGAAGTCTCTATCATTGTGGCTTCATCATCTATTTATAGGGGAAAATTAATCCTAGGACTTGGTGTTGACTTTCCTATAAAACCCCAAAACCATGGTTAAGTTGCTTAGGAGTCGAGCAGAGCAGGCTATGATATAGCCTGGGTTGTTGGCTAAGTGACCGGCATGATCTCGTTGCAGGCGCCCAAGGACATACAAGATCTACAGGGCCAGGCGGCGTCATCAGCAGGACCGATGGTAGTAGCGCCGATCCCTTCAGGCGGATCTTCGAGGAAGATTTCTCAGGAAGAGATCTCGGAGAGTAGGAGACGGTTGGCTACCTTTCCTTTAAAAATCAAAATGATTTCAAATAAAAAAGGGTTTGTTGGCTTTTTAGTTGTTTCGATTTAAAGTTAGGAGGAAGGACCGACTTGTAGCACACTCGACTTCCAGTGAACACACTTAGTGACGGTTCGCTAAGGGAATTTGATATAGGATTTAATATTCATTGAGGCAACATAGTCTAAGTCAAGTTTTCTCAAATCTTTAAACTGAGTTGGCGCTAGAGATGATAGTCGTGGTTGGTCCACAAAAGGTCTAAAATTCAAAGATTGATTTTGGATTGTCGGTTTACCAGAGAGAAAAACAAGTTATAGGGGTTGGCCCTGTAGACTGTAACCAACCTGAATCCGAAGAAAAAATCATATTCAAGTATCGACAGAAATTGAGGCAAAGCGAAGCCTGCGACTGCTTTTATTAAATTGATTTTCTCCTACTATTTTATTTTCTAAGTTATTTTATTTTTACTTTTATCTCATACATTCAATTAAAACCCTCTTACTTTAGTAGTTCCAAGTCCTTGTGGACTGACCCTTATTCTCACTATTACTACTTAATTTATTTCTTTTGAGATTAAGGAATTTGTTTGACAGTTAAATGACGCTTGTCAACATTGAAGGACTTTTTATTAATTCATATAGGACTTATAAAAAGGAGACTATGTTTATAAGGCAATATTCATTTATTAGGGGTTGTTGCTATAATCTCTATTTCTGGTCGGGGTTAGAATTATTAATTCTTGAAATAAATCGATATCCTTTTTAAGTTTACGTACGTAACGAGTAATAATTTAAATAAAAACTTGAACTCGAATATGTCTATAATATTTTTATCATTTTTATAGTAATTGTGTTATAGTTTAGAGTTTTTAGAAATTGATCATCTTTTATAATTTTAATAATAATTGATAATTTTATTATTTTCAAATAATTTTAAAAATGTTCAAAAAATAAAACATTTTAATATTCTTTAAGTTTAATATATTTTTTATAACTTTTCAAAAAATTTAACTAATTTAATAATTTTTAAATATTTTTAAAATAGTAAATTTTTTAAATAATTTTTAAAATAAAAGTTAAAAATTCTAGAAAGGTCACGTGACATCATTAGAGTTTGTCATGTGATGTACCAGATTGTGTTACCGTATGACAGATAATCTAAAAATATTTAAATTTAATGAAAATTGTTTAAAGAGATTAATTGGTATAATATTTCTCAGTACAATAATTAGATCGGGTGCAAAATAAAATTCATGGATTGAATTACTTTTTCAATTGTTAAGGTTTTGTTAACCCTTAAACTAAATATATTACCCCAAAAATGGGTCTTATATATAATATTTATGGAACACAAATTTGGGAAAACTAGTAGGAGTGGTTGAAATTATAACATAAAATCAAATACGTTAAAATTTTCTTCACCAATTTTTTAGTTAATTTTTGGCGCCAAACATTAAATGACAGTCACATAATGTCTTTTAAAATCGTCACATAAAAGACATTAAATATTAAAATGAGTGATAAATAATAACTTTCGTCATGTTAAACCTATTTTTATGGCATAAAAATATCAAATTTTATATCATATAAAATATGATGAATCAAAGTGTGACAATACTTTTATAACGTCACTAATTCAAATCAAATCGTCATACTAGTAAATCGTTACTAATACTTTTATTTTATTGAAGACAAATTTACAACATCACTATTTTATCTAAATGTCATTGAAAACCCTTTTTGTAGTCAAATTCTGGCATCAACATATACTATCAAAAATCAATGACTATTTTTAAGATTTTCATAAAAGATATGTCATCAATCACTAAATGTGATAAAAACAGAAAAATATCTTTTTTATAATATATTTTGTGATGTTACACGCAATGTCATATAGAAATTTCATCACAAATTAATAAATTTATCGTAGTGAGGGAAACTCGAAAAAGTTACTTGTTAGAATGACCACACTACAACAAAATTGTTATTTAGCGGTGTTTTTAGAGTAAATGCCACTAACTTTAAACATATAGCGGCGTTTACATTCCAAACGCCACAAAATAGTAACTTTAGTGGCGTTTCTTTAAAAACGCCTCAATAGTATTCATCCATAGTGGCGTTTTTCTTGAAAAACGCCACAACAGAGTAGTACTTTAGCATAGTTTTTATATAAACGCCGCAATAGGTCCATCTATAGTGGCGTTTTTTCAATAAACACCGCAACAAATTAGTACTTTAGCGGTGTTTTTATATAAATGTCGTAATAGGGTTCACCTATAATGGTGTTTTTCAATAAATGCCGCAATAAATTAGAACTTTAGCGGCATTTTTACATAAATGCTGTAGGGTTCACCTATAGTGGTGTTTTTTCAATAAACAATACAACATATTAGAACTTTAGTGGTATTTTTATACAAACACCGTAATAGTATTTATCTATAATGGCCTTTTTTCAATAAGCGTCGCAATATATTAGTACTTTAGCGGCGTTTATATACAAACGCCGCTAAAGACACATACTTTTGTGGCGTTTTTATACAAATGCCACAATTTATCAGTACTTTAGTGGTATTTGTATTTATTAACGCCGCAAGTTTACAATTTCTATGTCCCACGCCCTTTAACCCTTTTTCATTTTTTCCCCTTGACCTATTTTCCATTTTCGCCGTTTACATCTTCTTTTTATTCCCTCCAACTTCGTAGCGAAATTGTCGATCATGAGTTTTTTTTTAAGATTGACCAAATTTCATATACTAGTTTATGGAATGAAAGGGACTGTTGCTGAGGTACGATGTCTTCACCTTTTTTTAGAATATGAGTTATATTCGCTTTAGTAAATTAAGTTTGTTTGTTTTAGATTGAGCAAATCTCATATGAGTAAATTTATACAAATTCGATTTCCATTTTTTTTCATATTTCAGTTGCGATCGACTGATTTTGTCTATTGAAATTTGTGCATATATTTTGAATAATTAGATATTTTAATATATATGTATGTTCGAATTCATCATCTTTAATTTTATTATTAGGGCTTAGATAATTCTCTAAGCCCAAATAACTTTTTTCATATTGTTCTAAATTGCTGACAACTGTCTCATGATTCTGTGTGCTCCATTTAAAATCAGGATATGAACCTTTAGAAACTATTTTCATGTTTTAATTTCAAGAGGCCTTCTTCTGGTCCTACTGTTATTAGGTGATTGGATCCTTCTACCAGAATGGGTTGAAATACTCAACTGTTCCCCGTGAGCCCGATATAAATGATGAGTTTAGACTGACAAATAAGGTTCAGGATTCTGCTGCTGTTTCTTTTAAGGATATTGTTGAGCAGGTAGGTATGCCCTTTGATATGTTAGGTATTATATACACAAGTAGATTGGAACTTTCTTCCCCTTTGTAGCTCAGAAGTTTTCTTTATTGCATAAGCTATGGTATTGATGATTGTTATTCTAGGATGTCAAGGAAAACCCTGTGATGATTTACATTAATGGGGTACCTGATTTTCCTCAATGTGGATTCAGCTCTTTGGTTGTTAGAGTGTTAAAGCACTAGAGAAAGTGTTTGTTGTGCTTGACAATAATATTTTCCTCGCAACCCTATTCACTTTGATTGGTAACTAATATGTTCATGGATGATTCTACATTTGTTTTACCTTGCTTATGCATCTCTCTGGATATGACCCATATTCTGTCTTTAGAATAAAATTACATGAGCAAAAGGATTTACGCCTGCTCTATCTTCGATGAATGCTCCATGCATGTCCGTTTAACTTGATGTATTTTTGTTTTTATTTTGATAACAAATGCATTTAGCCGATTTTTGTTCTTATCAAATTTCTGGCTGATGCAGATATTCCTTTAAGTGCAAGAAATATCCTGAGCTGAAAAGTGCTATCAAAGCCTTCAGGTAACTCCACTTTTATTAGTATTTTACTTTGAAGGCTAACCTAATTGTGATCTTGATAAAAAAAAAATGAACACTCAAACTCTCCTTTTTAACCTAAGGTTCTCTCCTTTTGTATTTACATTTTTTCTTAGTAAAATAACTTGCTGAATGCCGATAGTCATCTTTTAAAAAAAGCCTATTCTGTGGTATGGGTGGGCTGTCTATTTTTGTTCCATCAATATTTATTGTATCTTGTGAAAAGTGAAAATTCTCTTCAGAGTTATGGATTTCTGCTGGTTGATTCTATGCCAAATGTTTCCTTTTTTCACTATATTAAGCTTCCTATTGATTCTTATTAGTATTTCTTATATTTTTGTATCTTCCAGACTCTTTGTTTGCGTTTGGTTGAAGCAAAAGTATGCGCAATGAGTCTTCTTGGTGAACCGAAGTTAGGAGATTTTTTACTTCATTTCCCCACAAAGGAGCAATGAAGACTAAATTCTAGTGAAGAATATTTTTTTTAATTGAAAGTGAAAGAACCTAAAATAAATTCTAGAGAACAATGTCAAACTTCATTACATTTAATTTTAATGTTTATAAATTTTAATTTGTAGTTAAGTAATTTTGTACTTAACTTGTGCCTTTATTAAAATGTATGGTTGTTGTTAATTAGATAAGGCTAGATGATATTAAATTTAGGTGATGTAGAGCAAAAATGAAATATACAAAATCATCTTAGCTAAAGAAAGGTAATTAGCGGCGTTTGTATCCAAAGGATAAAATGGAATTATCCCTTGATTGCCCTTATGGTAATCTACAGTTACATATTTGTATATACGTAGGAATCAAGTGAAAACTCTAATGGAAATCAGGATTAAATGTATTGAGAGTATTCTAATAACGTTTCTATATCTGTTGAACATGAAAAGCTTTGTAAGAATAGTTTGAATTGACCATAAAAAATGGATAGATTTTGGATTAAATGTTGAGTGGACAAAATTGTTATATATCAAAAGAACAAGAATTTGTTAATAGTTTTTAAATCTAAAAAATAGGAGAAACAAAGGTATTACTTAAGTATTATTTAAATTAAATAGGAATTAAAATGTAATTATACAAAAAAAATAGGAGCCGCAACTACTCTGAAAGTTAGGGGTGTTCAATTGGCCAGTTCGGTTAATCGACCAAATCGAATTACCCAAAATCTATTAACTCATTTTTTCCTTTAACCGTTTAACTGAACTATTTTTTTTTAAAAATAATCAAACCAAACTAAATTCAACTAATCCAATCAATTAACCAAATTAATCGCAATTGATAAATTCAACTAGAACTATTCCAAACAGTTTCTAGTACTCAAGTGAAAGGAATCAAATAGAACCTAAAATTTTTTCAAACAGTTTCGTCCACAAATGAAAGTGTTGGATGCAAAGTCTGTTTAAAGAAAATGCAAATAAAAGAGCTTTCTCACCGGCCATTAGGCTCGGCAACCCTGGGTCTGCACCCCATTTGTTGGAGAATCTTAGTGAGATGCAAATGCTTATTGGCTAATTTTTGCTTTTCTCTTCTTAGCTCTTCTAGTCTTTCCCTATATTTAGCTTCAATCTTATCAAGGGCTATCTTATGCTTTTCTCTTACAGCCTTGATCTTCAACTCTATTTCTTCAATTTTATTCCTTCCTCGGAAGTATTTGTGGGCATCTTTCAATCTTCTGAATCGACTTGTTGCCTCTGGAAACGATTGAACATATAAGCCCTATTAATCCACAATTTAGATCAACATGAAAATGGATGGTAAACATATGAATGATGGATCAAAACCTACATATTTAAATGTAATTATTGATAACACTAACAACAAATATCAATAGAAAATAAAGATAAACATACATATTCGTACGTGAATGTACAATTTAATAATATATTAATGACTAAACAACTACAATAAGTAGATACACAATACGAAATTATCATAAGATAAATTTATGACAATAACTTTCAAGGTAAATAGATAAATATCGATTATATTAGACTATTGATTTTGAAATCTTTGATAAAATTAAAATAGCATTAGAATTATTTGTGATAAATGTAAATCTACAATATCATTCACCAACTAAGATGCCAAAGCTAAGTTACAATAGCTATTCGACGCTCACCTCAAATTCATCTCCAAGTTCTATAGTCACTGGTTTGTGTTCATGGTTTTGCTCCAACACTTGATCATGTTTGTTTTTGGGTTGTGGTCTATGGGGTTGTTGATAGTTTTGATTTCCTAACATCTCTTTTGCGTGCTTCAATGCAGCCTTCAGGGATCGAAATTGCCTTTTTGTTCCCGGCTCATAGTAAAACTGCAGTCGAGGATATAAACCATATCAATTGATAGGTATGATTAACCGGCATAGTAAACAAAACTCAAACAACTATATGATTTACCATAATCTCCCTATGATCAATTTATTTGGGGTTGATGATCAATAATCATGTCAAAAGTCTTCAGGATAATCCTTTGGTTTACCAATTATAATGGGAAAATGTTGTAAGTTTAAGCTAACCACGATCTTGTTTGAAAATTTGAATCTACAAAGTGAGATTTGTAGCTGTTCTTCGTTTAAGTGAAAGTTGTTTCCACAAGCCTAAAACAGAGATTTGTAGCAGCTAAACAAGGTAAAATTCAAAGGCTACTAATATATCTAGAATACTCAGCAGTACTTCCTTGCGGTATCTACAAAGAAGAGCACATAGGTGCGTGTCTACAAATACAAATATACCTTTTTGCATAAGCTGTTTCCCTGTATTTTTCTTTTCAATTTTGAAAGTAAATAGAAGTATTAAATTGGGAATAACAATGAGTTTTCAGTAGGGTCAAGGCTAGGGTTCTTCAAGCTTACATTTGGGCATAAAATCAAATATAAAAATAAAAACCAGTTAGCATATTTGTTTCAATTTTAAGATCTGAAAATTCTTTGATATGAGCCTTCAATTATAACAAGTTTAATCAAGAAGATAAAATTAAATGGGTGAATCAAGTTGAAAAATAATGAAACAACCTGATCGACTTTCCCCATGTATTTGAGTGAGGTCCGAGGTCTTCTATCAACAAGCCATCCCTCTGGTAATCCGAACATCTGCCCATTTACATAACAAGGATGCTGATCTGCAGGTGGTATCCAACTCAAAGGCTCAGCTTCAGTTATAATGTCTTCAATTTCGGGTGCAGATTCTACATTTTCTTCCATCTTCACATCCGATTCTTTTGGCTCTATTTTTGAATCCTCGATAACATCCCCCATTGAAACAACAATAAGTACTCAAAACAGAAGCAGTATTTCACAACACAAATGGGTTTCGGAAGTTTCTCACCTGGAAAACGTAAAGAAGTAAAGGAAAAAATCAGATTCTTTTATGTTCAACGAAGAACACAGTGACACCTGGTTATTGTAAGAACCGGAATTCTTGATATAAAGACAAAAATCTAATGCAAGTTTGAAATTGAGATGCTTAATGGTTAGTAAGTAGTAACCAAATTCCACGTTAAAATTTGGAAGACCTTACTTTATTACCATATATATGCAAAGGTATAAAAATTTAGGCAAAATGGTATGTGAAGCCCCCAAACTAGCTCAAAGAAAGAAAGATAACCTCATACTATTTTTGTACTCATTGTGATCATGAAACTCAAGAAAAAAGAAGTCAATATGGCTTTTTGACAAACAGTTTCATCGATGACCGTTACGATGATTATGTGACAGCTTATGATATTGACATGACAATCAATAATGTTAACGTGACGATTTACTGTGATTGATGACATGAGCTAAATTATTTAAAAATGTATAAAATTATTAAGATTTTCTTGGTCAATTGATAATGCTTACACTCTGCAAACGTAATTTCTTGAATTAAAGACCTATAGGAATAACAATATTCCCTTTTACAACTAAGACTACTACATGAGCTCGACTTCATAATATAATAAGATACATTTATTCTTCTTAATCATCATATGGTACATCTGTTCATATAATATTATTTCTTTAAAATCAATAATTGTACCAATTATATTATATGGAAATTTATTAAAACATTTTATAATTTAGTAAGTATGAATCATATTAAGTTATATCAATTATGGAAACTTTTTATCGATATTAGTAATTTATATGGAATATTAATTTGCGAGAATAGCTTATTTCGTATATTAACAAACATATATTAATTTATATGGAAACAATTTTTTTATTAATTGCTAGAAAAAATAATTAGGATTTTATCAAAAAATTAATTTATCGAAATATATATTTTTTGTAACACCCTAAACCTGAATGGGTATAAAGTATCATACAACAGACAAAACAGTTAATAAAACATTTTATAAAGCAAAGTTTCGTGACACATAATTTAAAACCAAAATAATACATCTCAATGTTTGATAAAACAAATACATAAGTAAGGTTCTCTAAATATTAAAGCTACAGTGCAATACTATGAAGGAGATGTTGGAAGTCCTGCTGCGATAGAGCTCCACGAACTGCCCAAGCTACTAACCTGCCAACAAAAAACATTCGAAGGCATTGCTTGCAAAGCCCAATAGAATATTCTCTAATCTAGAGCAGTATTAACAGTTTCATAAACATAAGCGTGAAAAAGAAATGACATTAAACAGCAGACACATGCATGATCTTGATCAAATACTACCTACTTAACTCACTGTAGTAGGAGTCTCATACTTCCCTTAGTTCTCTGCTAAGGGCCTCTCCATGAGTACACATATATCAGGTCTTTACTCAAACTAGTTGCAACTACTTTGAATTATCTAAATGCAACTCTGAATCGACTCCAAATACGACTTGGAGTTTGTTGTGCACTATCTATATGCAATATTGACTAGTATCTGGTCTCACAAAGCCATTAGACACTAGACAATTGAGGATATCACGCCAAGCTAACCCACCCTACCAAGTGTTAGGCCTCGCCCCCAAATTAGTCGTAAAATTGCCTTGCACACTTGCTTTGGGTATTCGGGTAAGGATATCACACTCGCCAACTCACCCCTCGCGAGTGTTAAGGCCTGATGCCATAGCTAGCCACAGAAGTGCCTCGCGCACCTGCTTTAGGTGTTCTCGAATATCCTATACCACTAGACAATCATCACCGCCTGTACTGGACTAATGTGATTATACATTCATACCTAAGGCCCAAAGGCCACATGATACTGACATCACTAACCGACTCCTCATGAGCTCTCACGCCCTAACTAGCTCCTAAAGTGCCTCGCTCACAGACAATGCTCCATGACGAAAACTAAGGTAACCTGGGTATACCCTAGCATAACTAGACTCACTAATGTGAGATCATCCTCTCACAAGCTACTATCTTGCTCGTTCTCTCATCTAGAACGTTATGTAAAAGTTTATTAGTCTGTTAATA